AGCCTTCCAAGTAGCTGGAACTACAGGTGCGCGCTACCATGCCCAGCTAATTTTTTATTTTATTGTAGAGATGAGGTCTCACCAAGTTGCCCAGGCGGGTCGCGAACGACTTTCACAACTTTAAACTCGGTTCAACTAAATTCAAGTTAACTCAACAAACCAGACTCCACCTCCAGCCCTTATATTGCCAGGCTTTGTGCTGGCTGCTCAGGAAATGAGAAAAGGAAAGAAGGGTCAATGGGGGAGCTTTAGGCAGAGACATGCCCTGGTCTGGGGGTTCCTGTCTCACCCTGTCCCTTACCTCATGTCCCGCACGGCCTGGAGCAGAGTCCGCTGTCCGTGGAGCAGGGCACTGACCTTGGCAGAGTCCTGCAGGAGGGTCAACCTCTTGTCCTTCTAGAGCCCACCTGCCCAGGGCTGCTGCAGCCTCCTCCTTCCAGAGGCCTTGCCAGATTACCCCTCATTTGAACACCGAACCTACCTGTCCGTCTGGACTTCTGCATTCCCCTCTGCTCTGGCCCCTCTCCCCAGGGGAGGTTGTTTGCCCTAACAGTGGCCACACTGGGGCTTTCTCAAAACTTTTCCTCTCTTCTTCTTTTTTTTTTTTTTTTTTTTGAGTTGGAGTCTCACTCTGTTGCCCAGACTGGAGTGCAGTGGCGGCTTCTGGTCACCGCAGCCTCGATCTACTGGGCTCTGGCGATCCTTCCGCCTCAGCCTTCCAAGTAGCTGGAACTACAGGCGCGCGCTACCACGCCCGGCTAATTTTTGATTTATTGTAGAGATGAGGTCTCACCAAGTTGCCCAGGCGGGTGTCGAACCCACGGGCTCAGGCAATCCACTCACCTCGGCCTCCCAAAGTGCTGGGATTACAGGATGAGCCACCGAACCCGGCCTTTCCTCTCTTTTTTATTTTTTTTTAACTGTAATAAGTAACAGCCGTGATCTTTCCCCTTTTTCATTTCATTTTATTTTTTTAGAGACACAGTCTTGCTCTGCCGCCCAGACTGGAGTGCAGTGCTCACTGCAGCCTCAACCTCCTGGGATCAAGAGAGCCTCCTGCCTCAGCTTTCTGAGTAGCTGGAACTATAGGCATGTACCATAACACGTGGCTAATTTTTAAAATTTGGTTTTTTTTGTGAGTCGAAGTCTCACTCTGTCGCCTAGGCTGCAGTGCAATGGCACTCTCACAGCCACCGTGGCCTCGACTCCTAGGCTCAGGCAATCCTTCTGCCTCAGCCTTCCAAGGAGCTGGAATCACAGGCACCCCACAACGCCCAACTAATTTTTCTTTCTTTCTTTTAAGTTGGAGTCTCACTCTATCATCCAGGCTAGAGTGCAGTGGCACACTCACAGCCACCACAGCCTCAGCCTGCTGGGCTCAGGTGATCCTTCTGTCTCAACCTTCCAAGTAGCTGGAACTACAGGCATGTACTACCATGCCCGGCTAATTTTTTAATTTTTTTATTGTTGAGATGAGGTCTCACCAAGTTGCCCAGGCTGGTCTGGAACCTGAAGGCTCAGGCAATCCTCTCACCTTGGCCTCCCAAACTGCTGGAATTATAGGCATGAGCCACCACGCCTAGCCCAAAATATTTTTGTTGTTTTTTAGAGATGGGGTCTTGCTAAGTTGCCCAGGCTTATCTGGCCTCAAGCGATCCTCCTGTCTCAAGTAATCCTCCTGCCTCAGCCTCTTGAGTAGCTGGGAGTACAGGAGCATACCACCATGCCTAACCCCTTCCCCTTTCTGACAGTGGTTCTGTCCCCTAAAGGAGGCAGAGGCCCAGCCCAGTCCTCTTGGCCTCCCTTCTTCCAGGGTACCATCCAAGCGGGGGCCTTGCAGAGTGACCTGGATAGGTGGCTGCCCTTCTCTGGGGCTGATAGAACCTGGCAGGAGGGGTCCAGGGCCTAGAGGTAGGATCAGAGAGGCCCGGCCCTGGCGTTTGGGTCCCTCCCCTCTTCCCCACTCCAGCAGCCCGGCCTAAGCTGCTCTGGTCCGAAGACACAAGATTAAAATGTGGACCTGTCAGAACCCAGCAGAGTCTGCATGAGCTGCTGACCTCCTCCGCCCAGGATCCGACACCTTGGCTGAGTTTAGCTCTCAGGCCTCCAGGCTGGGCAGAACCTGGGGAATGACTCCCTGGGGGAGGAGCCAGATGGCAGTGGCGGTGAAATGAGGATTCTGGCGCAACTGAGTATTAAGCAAGCCGTATGCAAATCACATGTGAAGCTCCATGCAAATTAGCACCTAGTCTATTTCTGTCATTCTGGTCTACAGACCAGCGTCCAAATACCTGGCACCTCCTCTCCCAGCCCCAGCCCTGTGACTCTGCGGGCATGAGCTGTGCAGAGATGCCGTCTGCATGACTCCCTGTCCCACCCTGCGACCTGTCCCATTTCACCCCTGCCCCCCTTTCCCTCCAGACCTTGGGGGACTATTCCTGACTGTCGCCCTTGCTCCTCTTTGGGGCCTGCAAGTGGAGCCTTGGAGGCCCCAGGGGCCACTCACCCAGCCTCCCTCGGGCCCGGCCCAGCCTGGGAACCCCAGCTGCTTCTGCCATTGCCCCTGAGCCTGAGCCAGCTGCTTGGAGAGACCCTGGAGAGCCTGCAAGGTCCGGCTGTGTCTTCCCAGCATCTCCTCCAGGTCAAAGAGCCTTTCTCCTAGGGATCAGGGCAAAGATGGAATGGGCAGCCAGCTGGGGTGGGGCAGCCAGCTGGGGGGAGGCAGCAGAGCCTATCTTCGGGGGGTTTCTTGGAGAGGGACATCAGGCATGGCTCCTCCCTCCAAAATCCTCCCCTAGAAAAGGCATCTGGGTGGCAGGGTGGGGATAGGGCAGGACACCTGGGCCCTGAGACCCCAGGGCCCACTTAGAGATGGCCTCCTTAGGCCTCCATGTCCCCAGTGGTTCAGGGACTCCTGGCTCTAAGGGAAGAGGATCCTGTGACCCTTAAACACTGCCCTCCCCACGCCACCCCTTGATCCCTACCATTTCCTTGAACTTCCAAGTTGGACGCTGGAGTCACGTCCTCTCTGGTCCCCAGGGCCAGCCTTGCCCGCAGCCCTTCCAGCAGCCTTGCCAGGCGGAGCTGCTCTGTCTCCAAGAAGGGCTGCAGGGGCGCCTGCGGGAGGAAGGCAGAAAGTCGCCTGAAACCCACAGGAGGCCCAGAGGTGAGGGAGCCTTCCCGCAGGCTCCTCCACCAGCCCCAGCTCCTGCCTGAGCAAACATTTACCCCAGCCAGGGGAGAGCCTCAGCACAGCCACCCACCGGCCCTGCAGTTGCCATCCTCTGAGCTCCGCCTCCACACACCCTCCCCTCCCACTGTGGCCTCAGGCCGGTGTCCGCTGTTGCTCTGCCCCATCAAGCTCATCTCCTCCAGGCAGCCTTCCTAGATTCCCTGGCTGGCTCAGCCCCCTCCTCTGTCCTCCCACAGTCCCGTCCCTGCCTGAACACACAGAGCTGGCATATCACAGCCCGACCCATCCAGCCAGGGAGACCTTGTGGACAAGGCCTGGCCCCAGCATGGCCCAGCTCAAGGTCTGGCCTGAACTGAGCTCAGGGGACAGGTGGAGATGAGGGCTGGGACAGCAAGTCTGAGGGCACCATGGCATGAGTGAGAGAAGGGTTCCTGGACTGCCACTCCCAGGTGGGCTGGGGCTGGCATCACCTCAGAGCCTGGCTCACTCAGACTGAAGGTCAGGAAGGACAGGACATCATGGTCATCTGGAAGGGAGAGATGAAGGAGAAGTAAGGCCCCTCCCCCAGCAGCCTACCCCCTCTGCCCTCACCCTCTGCCTCCAGTATATCTCGGGGAGACGAGACATGGGTCGACTCTGGGCAGCTCCCTGGTCCCTGTCTCACTCATGTCATGGGAAAGGTGTGAGGTCAGATAAACAGACAGGTGGGTGGTGAGGGGTAAACCCCAAGCTCAGCCAGAGGAGACCCTGTGAGTGGGAAACTTGAGTGATCACAAAATCCTGTGCTAGCATATGGCAGCACACCAAGTAACACTGGCAGCAGCAATGGTGCAGTGACCACCTCTCCAGCATGGCTCTAACCATGTCACTTAGAAACCTCCCTTAGCCGTGCTCCGTGGCTCAGCCTGTAATCCCGCGCTTTGGGAGGCCGAGGTGAGTGAATTGCCTGAGCCCGCGGGTTC